ATGCTACACGATGTATTATTATGTCCTTTATTCGAACACTGTATTTACCTTTCTTTGATGATTTATATATATTATTTAACAGTGTTAACGGCTATCTTGATATATATATATATATATATATATATATAATATAATATATAGATATCTATTAAAACTTGTGATGTAGGCATTCTAAAACCATTGCTTGTCATCTGTCATCCTCCTCCTCCCTCCCTCTCATCACCATTACATTCTGTCATCCTCATCATCACTATGATCTGACATCTTCCTTTTCACCATATTAACCACCACCACCACCACCACCATCATCATGTTCTCCAATATCATCGTCATCTGCAGCATCATAATAATTATTATCTTCTTTATCATGATGATGATCATAATTTTATTAATATCATCATCGTCATCCTCAACATCATCCTATCCAATCCAAACTTAAAAGACGCATTATACTATGTCACTATAAGTGCTTATTGTTTGTCATCGGTCATCTATCATCTTCATCTTCCCCCTCATCATCATTATCATCATAGCCAGACATCATCCTCTTTATTATCACCATCACCAACACCACCATAATCATTGTCATCGTCGTCGTCTTCGTCATAAAAAAAATCCTTAGTGTAATAAAAACAAATTGTCTCAGCTTATCTTGTCTTGCCATAATTTGTACCGGTACTTTACGTACCTTACCCACTTGCCCTAAGAATTTAATTTATGCGGACCTTTTCCAATAGCTACCTTTCCGTTAGTACTGGTACCGAATCTAACACGGTATCGTGTGGAAGAGGTAGCTTAAACTGGAGGCCACGGGGAAAACCAATGGACCATTCTGTTAAAGTCCAACCCCTTGGATATTGTTGCTAAGGTCCAACAGTCTAAAACATACGCGCAAAACACGTGCGTTTGTGTGGGAGACAACACGTCTGCTTGTTAGACACGCGCGTACTCCCGTCCCTTGTTTTAATTGGTCATTTGTAACTGTAAGTTTGATTGATACTTCGAAAAGATCCATTGTAATAAATCTGAGCACAAGATCATGTCTCGGTTTCTATTCGTATCACTTTCAGTAAGATTATAATGTGTACATTAATAAATAAAATTAATGATCTACAGTTTGTTCTTGGTTTTTGATTACAAACTGTAAACAAATGTATAAACAAACAGAAAAGTTATTTTTATATCCTGGTGAACTTTTCCTCTACTGTACTCAAATGACATGTATGACTTGTATCGTGAACCTACAGTTGAGTAAAATAGTATTCCAGTACAATCGCAATCGGTAAACGTTGGATTTCTGTAGCATACAAATCCAATATAAAAATATTTTTAACTCAGCAGTTAAATTTGAGTAACATAATTTAATGATTATTAGTCTGACTATAATATTTGCATGAAGCGTACAACATAAATTAAGACTAACCTTAAAATAAAAAAAAAATTGCCATGTTCGGTGTAACAATACTAAGCACTTAGCAATACTAGGTATTTATACTGTAGGAGTGAACAAATGCAATGGCATTTCATTTGTTCACTCCTATGAACACTTACTTTTAAGTGCTTATAAGTGCAAGTATTGTCACACTGAAGATGACAGTTGACTCATGCAAGCTTTCTAAACATGGCATGATAATAGTAATAATAATAATAATACATATATATATATATAAAAATAATATATATATATATTTCTATATATATAGTATATATATAAATATATATATAT